GCGCCCGCCCCTCGCCAAGAGACAAGTCTTTTGCTCCGTGTACTGCGTGGAGAGCGACCTGCCCGAGGCCCCCGCCTCGGAGCAGCTCTCGCCGCCCGCGTCGCCACCTGGGGCTCCGCCAGTGCTGAACCCTCCCAGCACCCGCTCTTCCTTCCCCAGCCCCCGACTGTCCCTCCCAACGGATTCCCTCTCCCCCGACGGCGGCAGCATCGAGCTGGAGTTCTACCTGGCGCCCGAGCCGTTCTCCATGCCCAGCCTGTTGGGAGCTCCACCCTACTCTGGCCTGGGCGGTGTAGGGGATCCCTATGCGCCCCTCATGGTGCTGATGTGCCGGGTGTGCCTGGAAGACAAGCCCATCAAGCCCCTGCCTTGCTGCAAGAAGGCCGTGTGCGAGGAGTGCCTCAAAGTCTACCTGAGCGCCCAGGTAACTTCACCCCCTTCTCTTCCCCATTTATCATTCCAAATCACTGGCGAGGAGGTCCTGCTCTCAATCTGATCTCCCTGCTCGCACGAAGAGGTGACGGACACACTTACTGAGGATCTCTGTTAGTTTCTCACGTCTCGATTGTTATTTAAGTGCCTTTTGACCTCACTGGTTGACTTAACTGGAATTTAACTTTGCTGTGAACTTCAGGCTATGGTTGGCAGGTATAGAAGGCACAAGATACAAGTCTTTGCCCTCCTCTTATTTCTTATACAGGATTGCAAGCACGAGCTTGCTCAAAGGAGGAGAGCAAGAGACTGCCTCATCGGCCTGGTATCCCAGAAACTAACAAGCAGTGGGCATAGAATAAATATTTATGGAGCTGGTGGAGAAAAGAATTGGAACAAATATTTTAGACCCATGATACATGAATTTGTAATTTTGCTTCATTTATATATTCCAGAAAAGCGTGAATGTTTAACAAAATTTATCCCTTGGCCTTTGCCTACTTTCCAGTTTCCTTTTTCCACAGTAAAGTTGAAGTACTTTTTTTTCACTGAGGATTTAAGCCAGCGCTCTTTAAGAGGGAAGCAAAACAGAAAGAGCAAAACAAAGCAAAGAGAGGCTAAGAGGTTTCTCAAAACAAGTACTGGTGAAACTTTCTTCCTCTGCTTTTATTTGAAAACTTGGTTTTTTTCTTGGAAAGCTGGAGAGTGCACCAGACCAGCTTTCCTTCACTGAGGGTGAATGCGTTCTTCCAGCAGTTCTCAATCTGTGATGTGTCTGCCAGTGTTTTGCACAATCCTGAATGCCCTTTGATCCTGTGTCCAATTGTCCTAGGCCTATTCATCTTTCAAAACCCTGTGTGTTCAGGTGCCAACTCTTCTGTGAAGCGTTGCTTCACCTTCCAAGTCACTGCTTATATACTTTCACAGTATCTTACATGCACTGAAGTTGTTTCTTTCGTGTCTGCTTGTCTTGTTAGACTGTCTGGACAGTGTCTTAGAGTCCCATATGTGGTAGCTTCATGCTGAGTCCCTTGCACATCATAGTGTTTTTAATAACATTGGCCGGGGCAAACTGAACAGGGCTCCATACCATGTGATTCCTCTGTTTTTTGTGTCTAACTCATGCTTGGGTCTAGACTGAAAGTGTATACAGTCCCTAACTGAAAATGCAAACAGACACTTATAACGGTATGTTTCATAAACAGTAAGTTGGCTGAAATAGTGGAGATTATTTAAAAGCCTCTGAGAGACTGTTGTTTCTTTCATGCGTTATCTACAGAGATTCTTAAAAACAGGAGGAATGTCTGCTGCTGGTTGTGGTAGTTTCTGTATCATCATCCTCAAACAGATTTCGCTGCCCTGTGATGGGATTCAGACATTTCCAAAACATAAGCCTGGCTCCAGGGAAGTCACTGTGAGAGCAGATGTGTACAAAAGAACAATACAAGGTAGCATGGGATGAGATGTCAATAGAGTAACAATTCCAGATAGCACTTCCTGTTAAATGCTGGATACACGTACCAGAAATTCAAGGGAGGTAGTCATTGTGGCTTGGGGCACTTTAACTAGCAGTTTGATTTCCTTATGGTGGGCCCTTTCCCCAAAGCAGTTTTCTTTTTCTTTATTAAATCTCATAAGTTAGTTTCAGGAAGTTTTAGTAATGGTGGTAGGGAGACAGAGGGAGATAGTCAAGTGGTCATTGCAGTGTACAGTACAACCACTAAAAACTACTCTACAGTGACACAGTATCTGAAGCTTGTCTGCAGCATTTCTGATTGTATGTATGTTCCTAACCTTCTTCCAAAGTATTTGCTGGGACTTTCAATAAAGAATAATATACATTATTGGCCGGGTGTGGTGGCTCACGCCTGTAATCCCAGCACTTTGGAAGGCTGAGGTAGGTGGATTACCTGAGGAGTTCAAGACCAGCCTGACCAATATGGTGAAACCCTGTCTCTACTAAAAATACAAAATTAACTGGGCATGGGGACGTGGTGACGCATACGTGTAATCCCAGCTACTTGGAAGGCTGAGGCAGGAGAATTGCTTGAACCTGGGAGGCAGAGGTTGCAGTGAGCCAGGATCACACCATTGCACTCCAGCCTGGTGACAGAGCGAAACTCCATCTCAAAAAATAAATAAATAAATAAATAAAATAATAATAATAATATACATTATTTAAAATAATAAACAGCAACAAAAAGATGAGTCATAGATACCGGGCATGCTTTCACCTCAGGGCTTTTGTACTTGGTTTTACCTGTTCCAGGAAGGTTCCCTCCGTGGCCGTCTTATCTGCTCACTGTACTCCTTTTCAGGGCTATATTCAAACGTCATCCCCTGTGACTTTCACTGACCAGCCCACACGCTCTCTTTTTTCCTGCTTTTCGTTTTCTCCATAGCACTAACATACTCTGTCTTACACTTGATTAAGTCACGACAGAAGTTTTCACATGATTTGTACACTTCTGTATCTTTAGCATCTATAGCATTGTCTGGTCTATAACAGATGGGCAGCCAGAACCTACTGAATTTATGAAAGGCCTGAGATTGCCCCAGAAACCACGGCTAGGAAGTGGTGTTCCGCATTGGCACTAAATTCTGTTCTGAGCTTCTTGATATTTAAGACAAAAGACAAAGGCTTAAAGTGGACAAAAGTAACAGGTTTGCTAAGTTTGTAATTAAACTTAGAATTAAAGAGCTTAGATAAACTTGTAGCTTATACATAAAATAGCCTTTTTCAGTGAGTAAAAATACAGGATTGTGGTTGTAATATTTTTGATCTATGGCAATTCTATGGTCCCTTCTACTCAAAGGTTGTGTTTCTCTGTCACTTAACCTCTCTATGCCTTAATTTCCTCCTCAATGAAATGTAATTGCAGACAATCTGTAATAACCCACCAGTTCCAAAGCAAAACAAAATCAAACTGCATGGTTATTTTTCTGTCCTACTGAACCACATCAAAAGGGCATAGTGAGTGCTTTCTTTCTCATCTTAAAAGTTCTCTTAGGTTTGACAGAAGCAAATGTGTCAAGCCTAAACTTTCAAGGTTCTTAAAACCTTTACAAAAAATGATGTATTTGAGATAAAGAGCTATTAGTGACTTTTTTCTCACCATTTCTTTTAGTTTGTGCCACATAGTGCATTATTTAACATCATTTAAGAAAATAAAAGAGTCCCTATTAAACATTTCATGCCAACATTAAAATGCATATTAAATGTGAGTTGGACTATTGCCTGGTTAAATGAATATTTTTCTAAAAGGAGATGCAGAGTTCTTTGAAAGAAGATATGAACTTGGAAGATAGGAATGTGGATTTTTAGACAGTATGTTTTCACCAGTGCCATGGACTAATTTGTGACAAAGGCCAATTGGTGGGTGTCATCAATATTTCAATAGAGACATAGCAAATTAGATGGTGACTTAAGTACCTCTATGCTGTGTATAAAATTGTAGTTTTATTTTTCAAAACATAGTTCTTCTCCAGTTATTGCCATGACTGTGGCTAGGGAGCCCTTCTTAGTGGAATAACTTTACAGTGCAGTGGGTGTCATCCAATTTCTGATTGTCATGGTGAAGGGGTGGACTAATAGATTGTAAATCTTTAGCACCACAGTAGATGTTGATTTAGAAGCTGTAGAGCTCCAGAACAGAGATAGTTATATTATTTATATTATATTGCTCATGTACATAAATCTCTGGCACATTCATTTCAGAAGTACATTTCCCAGTGACCTGTGTATGCATGTGTGAATATGGCTAAAGCATGTAGTCCCAGGGATGCCTGCAATATCCTGCAGGTCTCTTAACCCTTCTCAGTATTGGTCTTCTCAGCTGGCTTGGCCTTTACCACATTTTCCTAGGAGGAAATATTTTCTGTTGCCTTCTTTGTTTCATAGGATGATACTATGTTCATTTCAGAAATCCTCCACAGATAATCTTTCTTTTATGATTTGGTTTAGAGAGAAAAATCTGTCATAAATATGAAATATTAATATTTAGTATTTTAGATGAAGAAAGGACGAGAAATGAGGATGCCAAAGGGCTTGCTAAAGGTGACAGCTGTTGTGGATTCCACCACTCTGCCTAAAAGTGCTAGAGATTGGCAGACGCATGTAACTTGGAATGTATACACCTGTCCAATGAGTATTAATAGATACAAGCAACACATTTCTTCTACAGATTGTGAACAAAACAGCTGCTAGATGATAAAGTCCTAAAATGACTGTCTACTGTAGTCACCCTAGAATCAGTGACCCAGAGGTGAAAGCTTATATATCCTATTATTAAATTATGAGTCATCCAAATCTTCATGGGTAAAAGTGTAACATAGATTCTTTTTTTTTTTTTTTTTAGACAGAGTCTTGCTCTTGTCGCCCAGGCTGGAGTGCAATGTCTTGATCTCGGCTCACTGCAACCTTTGCCTCCCGGGTTCAAGCGATTCTCCTGCTTCAGCCTCCCGAGTAGCTGGGATTACAGGTGCATGCCACCAAGCCCAGCTAATTTTTTGTATTTTTAGTAGAGACGGGGTTTCACCATGTTGGCCAGGCTGGTCTCGAACTCCTGACCTCAGGTGATCCACCTGCCTTGGACTCCCAAAGTGCTCGGGGATTACAGGCATGAGCCACTGATCCTGGCCCCATAAATTCATTTCCTTTAAACCTTAAAGCACCCTGCATATTTTTAGAAACCATCATGTTCAGTGTTGAGTTTGAATGCAGTTGTCTTCACACAGGTGAATTTATAGAACCTGTCATGCCCGTCATGGTTTTGGTAGTCCTGAAAATGTAAAGAATAATACGAGACTGAAATTCGTTGAAGTCACTCTAAAAATTTGAAAAGTGGGAATTAAGGCATATTTAAACTTATCCTTCTGTGTGCAAAATGTGTGTGTGTGTGTGTGTGTGTGTGTGTCTGGGGGTGTAGTAACATTTGCTTTCATGCCTTACTCATTCCATTATTTTCCTCCACTCTCTACATCATTGCTCTTTAATAATTTTTTTTTTCTTTCCCTTGTTCTTTTACTTTTTGAAATCTGATTTTAATTGGCATTTGATTTCTCTAGAGGAATCCTCTGTCAAGTGCTAAGCCCTGGGGCCAGCAGAACTTTTTCCGAGGCATGTTGCATGGGTATTTCCTTTCTCTTTCAGTTGTCTGGAGATGAGACTACATAAAGGAACCTTGCATTGCGTTCCACTGCCTAGAATATCTCAAATAACATTACAAGTACTACTGACCTAAGGCATCAGCTGATACCTTTAGAGTGTGATTTTTCCCTCCTAGAGTAGAGCTCAGCTTTTATACCTGAAGGCTCTTCCTTAACTCCCGATACAAAAGACATAAAAAAGAGATCATTAGAATTTAAACTCTCAGTTTTTTATTACGGGTTTGTGATGGACAAGGTAGGCATACCTGAGCGGTAATTTCTTATAATTTTTCATTTATCAGTGTACTTTTTGTGCATTTAACAAGCATTTATTGGGCTACCTGTATGACAAGCACCATGAGATACTCTATAAATGTGTTAAATCTTCTAAAGGAACCATCTTATAGCCTTGTTGGCAGTATTTTTCCCAGCTTTATCTGATGGCATAAATAAACTTTTTTTTAAAAAAAGTTACCAGACAGCTATGGATCTTCTTTCTCTCTGGGATATTTTTATTAAGCCAGTTCTGGGACACCAGCTATCTTTTTATTAATCTTACTTACTATTCCTTCTGTTATGTTTAATCCAAAGTTATAAATCTGTTACTCATTTCTTAATATAAATATTTCTCAGCTATTTTTGATTGCTGGAAATATATTAGTAAATATAAAGATGTATGTATTTTGTTCATTTCAAAATCTTTTCTGCCTTTATTTAAAAGAAAACACAGTTTTGCTCAGTTTGTTTTGGATCATTCATGACATACTTAAAAATATTTATTTTTTTTCAAATTCAGTTTGTCAGAAGGGTTTTACATTGTAAACAAAATGAACCTTCCCAAATTGAAGTTTTGCTTTAAAAATTCAATGTGTATGGGAGAATGGCTCCTAGTTTATATCGTTCTCTATCAACTTTATCACTACTATTTGCCCCACCAATTTTGGGATAATTGCACTTGAATTTGTAAGTTTTTACAAACAGTAAGTAAAACCATTTATTGGACATCTATCTTGTAAACATTCTTACATGTATTTTTATTTAATTTTAATTCATTTACATATTAAATACTTATTACATATAAGGCACTGTTTTAGGCTCTGGGGATACAAGAAACTAAAACATTTAAAGCTCCTGACCTCAGGAATTATATGCTAGGCTGTGGAGATGGACAATGAGATAAGTGAATTATTTAGCATATTAGGAGATAATAAGGGCTATGGAGAAGGAGAAATAAGGGAAAGGTGATATTGGGGAGGGGTTTTCCTTGACAACTTTATAGTTTTGGGGGAGTCGTCAGGGAGGATATGTTTTACGAAGGGACTTTTAGGAAGAGATCTTCGTGATGCAAATGAAGGAACAAACCATGAATATATCTAATAGAATAATAAGGTGTAAAGTCCAAAGGTAGGAGCATACTTGCGAGTTTCCAGGAATTATAAGGAGATCTGCGTGGCTGAAGCATAGAGAATGAAGTGGATAGTGCTAAAAAGAATACAGCAGGAGGAGTGGGGAAAGCTGGTCTGGCAGAGATTAAACCCATCAAGTATCTTCATTTCCCTAAAGTAAGATCTTGTAAAAAGATATTGAGCAAAAGACTAACCAGATATGCCTTTCCCTTTAAAAGAGATTACTCCATCTCTTTGTGGAAAATATACTGTAGGAGTCAAGACTGGAAGTAAAAAGATCAGTTAGAAGACTATGGAATAAATCAAAGGAGAGACAATACAGTTCAGACTAGAGTGATACAGGCGAACGTGGTTTGAACTGGTGGAATTTGGAATATATTGTGAGGTTAGAACTGACAGAATGCCAGTGATTGCACGTGGGATGAGAGAAAAAGAGTCAAGCATGAGTCAGGTTCTGAGCCCAAGCAATTAGAAAACTGGGGTTGCCGTTTAATAAGATGAGGAATAGTGTAGGAGGACTAGGTTTAGGGAGAATGAGAAATTTGATGTGCCGTTTAGACATTCATGAAGGGATGTTGAGTAGGCAGTTGGTGTCTGGCATTCAGAAGAGAGATCTGAGCAGAAGATATACATTTGGATGTGGATGGCATATAGATGGTATTTAAAGCTATTAGACTGGATGAGGTCACCTGTGGAGTGTCACTAGCTAGAGAAGAAGGATAGGAGATTGAGTCCGAGCATACCAGTGTTCACGAATATGGAGTCTGGGACATCAGAAAGAACAATCAAAGAGTCTAAAAGGGAGTGAGCTAATTAGGCAAGAAGAGTACTGAGAGTACTTACCCAGAAGTCAAAGACAGTGTTTTAAAAGGGATAATGATCTGTGTCTAATGCTTCTGATAGTTCCAGCAGGATGAGGTTTGAAATTGACCGTCAGATTTCCCAACAAGGAGTTTATTGGTAACTGTGAGCCTAGTGCTGTTTTCATTGGCAGCCGTGGGATGGTTTTCAGGTTAGAGTGGGTTCAAGAGAACAGGAACAACTCTGTTTTTGTACTGCAGGTAGTAGAATGTTATATGAGGGAACTCAAGGTTAGAGAGATTAAATAACTTTCGCAAAGTCTCAAAGCAAGGGAATGGCAAAGGTGGAAGTGAAATTCAGATGTTTGGCTCAAAACCTATGGCTTTTTTGCATTCTTTAAATTGATTATCTCATTTATAAGGTAAACCTGTATTTTTCTTTTTCTTTTAAGTTGATACACATATTGTACAAAAAGCACAAGTCTTCCAATCCAAGAAGGAGAAGACACTTAATTACATGTTTTGAGGAAGTGAAAGGCTCCCATTCACACTTAGATCTAGAGATTACAGCCAAACTCAGTCTCATCTTCATGTAAGCAAGTGAAGAAGAATTTGGCTTAGGAAAGCTATGATTTGATATGATTTACTGTTAACTTTTTTTGTTTTGTTTTGTTTTGTTTGAGATGGAGTCTTACTCTGTCACCAGGGTGGAGCGCGGTGGCATGATCTCGGCTCACTGAAACCTCCACCTCCCAGGCTCAAGCGATTCTCCTACCTCAGCCGTCCGAGTAGTTGGGACTACAGGCGCGCGCCACCACGCTCAGCTAATTTTTGTATTTTTAGTAGAGACGGGGTTTCACCAGGTTGGCCAATATGGTCTTGATCTCTTGACCTGGTGATCCTACCGCCTCGGCCTCCTGAAGTGCTGAGATTACAGGCATGAGCCACGGCGCCTGGCCGATTTACTGTTGAGTTTTAATGGCAGCATACTCTCCTGTTTTCTTCCTAAGTTTCTGGTCTTTCCTTTTGTTAGAACTTTCTTGTATTAATTACCATCTCTTAATGTTGCTGCCTGCGTGGTCCTGTGCTAAACCTCTTCTCTTCTCACTTTGTATACTGTTAGTGGGGCCATCTTACCCACTCTCATGGTTTCAACTAACACCTACCTATTGTTGATTCCCAAATATTTATCTCTATCCCCAGTCAACAGTATTATATAGCCATCTCTCTCCTGAACAACTGTAGTGGATGTCCCATACATAGGCACCTTAAACTTCTCAAAACTAAACCCCCCTTTCCTCCCCTTCTTTGCCACATGCTCAAAGCCTTGCTTCTTTTTTGAGATTCCGTTTCCAGTAATTGTACCCAGGTCAGAAACTTGGGGGTCATCACTGAGCTATTCTTTTCCCTTATCTCCCACATCTAATTAATCACCAGGTCCTTTCAATTCTACATCTTTAAAATATATCTGTACTCTCTACCGTTTTCTGTTTCTGCTGTCATTTCACTTGCTCAGCCTCTACCATTTCTCTCCTGGATTCTTATGAGAGTTTCCTACTTGGTCCCAGTGATGCTCTCTTGACTCTCTCCGACTTACTGTCCACACATATGCCGGAGGGTTCTTTATAAAATGCTGGACCAGTCTTGGCACTCTCCTTCCTAGCCTTTCAACACCTGCTTCTTGCTAATAAATTAGAATTTAAACTTTATAACAATATCTATATGTCCCTGTGCATTCTGACTCCTGTGTGTCCCTCCGAGATTTCTTTCTCAACTGTCCCATGACACCTATAGAGATATTAAATTTCTTCTTCTTTGAATGCTCCATGGCTCTGAATTATGAGCCTTTGCCTTTAGTGACATGAAGTTTTGTCTTAGGGGAATCCTCTTTCTTTCCTTGCTGCCCTAACTCTCTTTGCCCCATTCACACTCATTCTGCTAGTTCAGCTTAGACATTCTTCTGGGAGAATCTTCTTGACCCTCTGATTAAGCATCCTTCCTATATTCTTTGATAACCCTCTTTACCTAAGGTTATCAAACTATATAGGAATCTTCTATACAATTATTCTTGTTTCCCTGTATTTAAATCGCCTGTTTCCTGCTCTGTGCTTCCATTAGACTACAAAGCTTGATGCATGTAAATGTTTTTCCTAACTAATTTCCTAACACTTTGTGTGTTATATAGACTCTGTAAGTAGAGTGGATGTTTAAATTTATTCCACAAATAAATAATACAGTAGAAGCCAATATTGTCAATATGTAAACTATTTGGATAGGCAAAGTGATATTTTTAAATGAAAATTTGAATATTTCATTTTCTTGTTTAAAAACCTGTAAGACCTCCTCATTGCTTCACATAGAGATTCCAACTCATAACACTGTGGGTAAGATTTGGCCTCTGCATCTTCTTCAGTCCCTTCTTCTGTCACTCCAGCTCTCCTCCCTCCAGCCATAGAGTATTCTTCTCATGGTTAATTTCAGTTCACTGACTCAGTCTTCCTTATATCACCAGACTGAGTTAGTCCTGTTAAGGTTCTTAGAGTCCTTTTTCCTCTGCCACCACTGTATTTACCTCTTTTTATAATTAAATGGTATGTGATAATTTGATGTTTATTACGTCAATGCTCCCCCATTATTCTTTGAGCTACTTCATTTTTTATTTTATTTTATTTTTTTTTTGAGACGGAGTCTCGCTCTGTCCTCCAGGCTGGAGTGCAGTGGCCGGATCTCAGCTCATTGCAAGCTCCGCCTCCCGGGTTTACGCCATTCTCCTGCCTCAGCCTCCCGAGTAGCTGGGACTACAGGCGCCCGCCACCACGCCCGGCTAGTTTTTTGTATTTTTTAGTAGAGACGGGGTTTCACCGTGTTAGCCAGGATGGTCTCGATCTCCTGACCTCGTGATCTGCCGGTCTCGGCCTCCCAAAGTGCTGGGATTACAGGCTTGCGCCCGGCCGAGCTACTTTCATAATTAGCACCTAGCACAGAGCCCAGAAGAGAATGAATGATTGAAAATAAATTATGTTTGCTATAAAAAGTAAGGTAACTCTTTTAGTCTGAACTTTTGACATATTATTCTACAATGCATTTATTTAGATTGGTGCAAAAGTAATGGCAGAAACTGCAATGACTTTGGCATCAATCCAGTGAACTCCCGTGGCCTGAGTCTTTATGCTAGCATCCCATCTATCACTGAGGTGTGTCTTCTTTAATTCCAATACCTGTTCTGGTTACTGTCTCCTGTTTAACAGATTCTTCCAGAACCTACGAACATTAAAAAAACAAACAAACAAACAAAAACACCATTTTATTTTGATGATGACATTGTGGGTCAGGATTTGGGAAGGCCTCAGCCAGTCAGTTCACCTTCGGGGTTTCTCATGCAGTTGTAGTCAGATGTCAGGTCACTTGCTTGGCTGGCAGCTGATGCCGGCTGCTGTCAGTGAGCTCAGCTGTGGCTGTCTACAGAGTGCCCACACGTGGCCTTGCCGGCATGGCAGTCGCAGAGCTTCTTACTTGCAGATTGGCCTCACCCAGAGCCAGCAACCCAAGGGATGTGGAAACTGCGTGACATTTTCTGCCCTAAGTTTGGAAGGCCCTCAGCATCACTTTGGTGAGGCAGTGATGAGCCTGCCCAGATTCAAGGGGAAGGGACATTGACCCCAATTTATTTGGGGCAAGTGTCAGAGAATTTGGGGCCATATTTTAAAACCTCCACTACTTAAGAGAAAAATCAAGAATGTGGTGAATTAGCTTTCGAGCCTGAATTTTAATTAAAAAAAAATTATATATTTTCTATCATTTCCTTAAATATTTCCAATTCATATCATTCTATTAGTAAATACTTTGTTGGTGTGTCTTTGTGCTTTATCTTTAAATAATTTAATAATACAGATTCACGTAGTTTTAAAGAAAACTTATGTGAAAGCTATTCTCTTTTAAAATTAAATATTTTAAGTAGTTCCACTGTAATTGAAATATGTCAAGGTGTCAGGGTCAGCTTCCAATAATTCTGATTAACAACACTTAATCTTATTCTGTATAGCATAATTTCCTTTCCATTAGAGTATATCAAAATTACAGCTTCAGCTACAGTTAAAATATTTGAAAAACTTAGCACTATCTTTCTGAATAAAAGGAGTTCATGTAACAGATTTTTTTTTTGTAGTCTAGATATATTTTGTATAGAAATAGTATTGTATCTAATGACACTGCAGAATTAACCACCCTAGTCAATCTTTGTGAAATTGGCCTACTGTTTGTTTGTGGTATTCTAGTTTGTGTGGGTGATGTTATCGTGTGACTTGTATCTTCTTGAATAGATAGCTGTTTAAATTTCCAGAGCATGTATGTTGTCTTCGAGTTTCTTCCTGTTAGAGATCTGTATTCTCTGGAACAGAGGAGGCATGTTGCTTTTATGATGTTTGCCCCACTCCACCTTTACCCCCTGGCTCAGGTAACTAAATTCTGGGCTTTTTCATTCATGTGAATGACTAATCCCTTTGTAAATCTTTCTAAGCTATTTGCCTCAGTAATATTCTCTACTGTAAGATTCAAACTTAATTATAGGGTACCTGGCAAATTACTTTCCTTTTTGTGGTGTTGATTCTTGCTTTCTTTCCTTACATGATTATTGGCCATACTCAGTGTTCATGAAACTCATGAGCTCTGAGTTGTATGTGGCAAGTTTAATCACCACAGCTTTTCCCCTGGTTGCTTAACAATTTAAAGCAGCAGGCAAAATGAAACAATTGCTTGTAAGCCATTTTTCCTAATGTTTAGAGTTTAGTGTATTATTAATGTGTGTTCGTCTAAGTAGAGCTATTGGGTGAAATCACAAGTGACTCTGATATGGCCAGATTGTAGCCCATCTTTTTGAAAGTAATTAGTTAATGAATAATTCATTCATTCATTGAGATAGTGTCTTGCTCTGTTGCCTGGGCAGGAGTGCAGTGGCTCAATCATGGTTCACTGCAGCCTCCACCTTCTAGGCTTAGGCAATCCTCCCACCTCAGCCTCCCAAATAGCTGGGACTACAGGCGTGCACCACCATACCTGGCTAATTTTTTGTTTGTTTGTTTTTAGTAGCTATAGAGTTTTCCATGTTGTCCAGGCCGGTCTTGAACTCCTGGGCTCAAGAGATCTAACCACCTGGGCCTCCCAAAGTGCTGGGATTACACGTGTGAGCCACCGCAATCAGTCCATTTTTTTCATATGAATAGATAAGCAAAGTGAGAAAAGTGACTTTCATTCTCTTGCCAGAGATGCTCTTGGTGGAAAACAATAGGTGCAATCCCCAAATTCTCATTTAATCCTACTTTTAACTAGTTTTAACTTCAATGTTTTATTTTTCCTATGTTATCATTTTTCTGCCTCAAGATTTTTAAAAAATATTTTTCCTATGTTACAATTTTTCCTCCTCAAGATATTTTTTAAAACAAACACTTTGAAAACAATAGGCTCCTAAAATTAAAGAAAGAAGTATTCTCTGTGTCTTCAAGTGTTGGTGCTTTATGTTAAACTTATATGGTATATGTGTATGTATGTATATATGTATACATAGACATATGTATACATACTGTTTGTCAAGTTCTCACAGTTATTTTTGTGTCACAAGGGGAATGTTTGCTGATCTTAATTTAAAAAAATCTAAGCCTAGTCATTTCTAGTTAAGTTCATGTATTTCAGGTGTAGTTTCTCCTCCCTCCCTCCCTCTCTCTCTCCCTTCCTCCCTTCCTCACACTGTCGCCTGGGCTGGAGTGCAGTGGCGCAATCTCGGCTC